TTATTAAATTAAAACGAGGAAAAAAAGATAGTGTTCTAAGCTCATTTGGCTCTATAATGCCCTCATAAATCGATATTTCTGTTCATACCTATTTAAAAGACTACTCTTATAAAGCATGATTTTCTGGATTCTCCACATCCCTGTATTACATTTTTTACTGACATCCAATCTGTGGTGCCAGAAAGCAGAGATAATGATTTGGAAAGAGAAGTAATTGGGAAAATACTTGCTGCTCTTTCTGGCCTTACCCAACCTTAAGTATTTTACTCGTTGCTCCCCGTAGAATCACTCCCAACTTCCATCCAATTTCCAAATGTTCGAGCCACATTGCTTTCTTTTAATCAACCTTATTTTGAAACCTTGTAATCATGTAATGCATAAGTTATTCTTTTGGTCTCATTAAATGCTCACTTTTTTTTTAGCTTTCTGAAATTTCACCAGCACCTGACATCAAATGGATTTTTGTTAACACAGAACTGGAAGAGGTTCGATTCCTCTTTGATGTTGTTAAGCCAAGAGCGCAAAGCGCATGCGCGAAATGAGAGCTAGAGGGTTGGAAGCTACTGCTAAGGGACTCCCACTCATCTAGAAAGGATAGGCAATTGAGAGAGAATAGGGCGATAGCAAGTACTGAATTTGCAGTTGTATTGTGAATGATGATAGACAGCTGCCAAAATGGGGTGAGGAATTTCAATGAGTTCATCCTTACTAGATCAATTTCAGTGACGTCATACTTACTAGATCACCCTAAACATTCATGGCCATTCTCCTTTTTTTTTGTGGGTTTAACGATCTGGTATCCAGAACCTATCCACTAACCTGACTAATCCAGATTCACATCAAGTAAGGCTCATTTAAAGGAGAAGCGCTCACTACCAGAATTTTCTCCATTAGGAGGGATCAAACCCAAGGCATGCAGTTAAGGACGGAGGGATTCCATCCATCCCATGACATCTATTGGTGACCGTTCATTCATGGTCATTCTCGTTCTAAAAAAGCTGTGCCACTAATGTGATACTGTTTGACAAGAAAAAAAGGGTAGCCTTAGGCTATGAAGGCTGATTTATGCATTGAGAAAGATCATTTGTAGGAAAATCTATTATGCAACAACGGCCCCTACTCTTTACCTTTCTCGTGCCTTACCTCATTCCTTTATAAATTTTTACGCGACTTATCCTTTTGGAGCTAATATAACGAACTAATGGAGCCTCCAAATAAAGTCAATGTAAGTTTTATTATTGTGGTAACTAATGGAGTTTTATGTAAAATGAAAAATGTACTTGTAGTTCTGAACTATAGTTCTCTCCTTCTTGTTCGTTAGGCATTGGCCACACTCATAAGATACCAATTATCAGTGTTGTCAAAGGTGTGCTTAAGTTTTGAAGTGAGGCTAAAAACATGTTGAGCGCTTCACCTCGCTTTGGGGGCGCTTCAGTGTCGCATCAAGGCTCTAAGGCATACTTTTCCTTACCATAGAGTGTAATCCTGAAAAGGCAACACTAAACAATTGATATTTCATTTTATTGTAATTCTTTTTCAATTTTTTTTGTCCGTATATGTGTTATTCATGCTTATAATTATTGGTCTTGGACTACATATATATATTTTTACTTTTTCTCCAGTTGCGCCTTTTTTCATTAAAGCCCGCACTTTATTTGCGCTTTGCGCTTAAAGCCCCAACGGACCTTACAACTTTTTTGCTTTTCGCCTTTGATAATACTGCCAATTATTACTGGGAATAGTCAGTTTGAATTGTGTCTCACTTTTTATCTTGGGGGTTGCCCTACTACCTATTGTCAAATGACTGATGAAATCATTATTTGCACATAAGAAAGGACCTGGACCTGATGTTAGTCTTGTTCACTATAGGTGTTTGGACAGATGGTTGTTGGGTATTTTCTACGGGTCTTGATCAGCGCATCAGGTGTTGGCATCTCGAACAGCAAGGCAAACTAACTGAGCACAAACATATGGTTGTTAGTGTACCGGAGCCCGAGGCATTGGATGCTAGGGCCTGCGGAAGGTGGGTAATCCTTTCTTTCATACTGTATTATTGATTTTCTTGTTTACTCTTCTATTTTTCACTTTCTGAAAACCAACCTCCACCTAGCTTTAATTTTATTTTTTAATATGTTGTATTCAGGAACCATTATCAGATTGCAGTCGCTGGGAGGGGAATGCAAATGTTTGATTTTGTTGCACCTGATGACATGAAGGTTGGAAAATAAGGTTTTTCCCTATTGTATAACACAACTTGAAGAATGCAAAATGAATGAGGTTCCTCTGTTTCGGGTATGAAGTGTGAAGCGTCTGTTATTACGTACGAGGAAATTCTTATATTTTTTTAATCATGATATTTGATACTTTCTTAGGCATGCAGAAGGTGAATTATATGAGGTATCAACAATTAGTGCAATACTTGTCCCAATAAAATAATTTTGTGGTTACAGTTTTAGCTAGCTTTTGTAAGCCAAGAAAACACAAGTGATTAGTGAAATACCCGAGAATCTGTAGAATATCCTGAGGCATCCTAGTAGGTGAAATGTTTGATGTATCTTTCACTATAGCATTGTAGTGGTAGTACTGCTGTTGTTCTTTGTATCTTATTTTATTTTATCTATATTCATTTTTTTTGCTTGTTGTATAATGTGTTTCTTGTCTATGCACATCCAATTACTTTGGTATTATCATTTCTAACTTCTTTGTTATTCGCATTGAATGTGTGGTCTTATCATTATTGTTGTACAGATATTCTTAGAATATTTTGATGTCGTTTTATTTGGTTTTCTTTTCCATAATTGGGCATATGTGGGATTTATCGTGTAGATTTTCAGTTGAATCTAATACTTGTAATGTTGTTGATAAGCGACTCTTCACTTTGAATAAGTTTTCGTTCTTTTGATTAAGCTTGAGGGGCATATGCCGTTAACTAAAGCGAAAACTTAAAACATGTGCATGTGAGTTCAAGCAACTAATGACGTCTTATGGAAGAGATACGACTTCTTTTTTATTTTTCATGAACTTGATTGCTTATTTTATACTAATGTAGTAACATCTTTAAAAATCTCAGAAATTAAGTTGTAGAATGTTTTGAATCAAAGTTAGTGATTGCGTTGGAATAATTAGCGAAAACCATATATAACCTGAAACCAAGTTGTCATGGCAATTGTCTTACAAAGCCATATCAAATTGGATGTGTAAATAGAATAGGGAGAATGCCATGGCAATTGTTTTACAAAAATTGGCACTTCCAGAAAAATGAAAAAAAACTGAACTTGCTCAATACTGCATAAAACTTCAACCAAAAGCACTGGATTGGTATGGAGATGCCCCAAAGGTTGAAGACAGTATGTTCTTAAAAATAACAAGCCGAGGATGAATATTACACATTACTCTCTGTATGGTTCAGAACAGAGAGATTGTTGATTTTATCAGTCAAAGTGGTTAAAAGAAAGCAAAAAGTAAGAAAATAGAGACAGTGAAATCTCTCATTTCAAAACATTCTTGGTTCCCTCATTGATGGAATGGAATGTCAAGTAGTATACAATGCAGCGAAAATCCAGAGAGACAGAGATAGGTAGTAGATGAGATAGCTTGATAGAAGAATCCACCTCAACGGTCCTATTTCAAAACACAAAAAAGCAAACCCCAGTTGAAGTTAATCAAGAATCAAGTATCCATAAGTTCTGAGTGAAGAGTGGAGACTAACCTGCACAAGCTACAAAAGAAAGCAGGAACAAGAAGGCCACTGGAAGGAAAGCAATTTTTATGGATTCTCTCACTCTCATCCCAGTTTTCATTGCCCAAAGAATGTGATAGATAAAACTTGGATGTTTTATGAATGGATAAATGCTGGATTATTGCAATTATGTACTACTTGTAGTAGGTGGAGTGAGTAACTCGCAGCGAGTTTGGTAGATACATGTAAAGAGAGAGGGAGAAGAAAACACTTGGTAAGATATATGCATCAATAACTACTACTAAGTTCCAAATTAGTGGAGTTCGCCTATATGAATTCTCCAATATTTAGAAAATTTATTTTGTAATTATTCTTACAGTTAGTTTTTCTTCTTTATCCGAGTATCATGTTGGTTTCTCGATGCGAGCGAACGCTTTTTATGTCTTTATTTTAAGCAGGTTCCACAATTCCCATTACTTAGGTAAGTCAGAGGCAGCAGAAACACTGATGTACCCAGCGGAATCAGTGCTAATGATGGGTGCTGGCTACCGAGGGTGATAGAGAATCCAAGACTGTATGATAATATAAAATTATAATAACAAAGTCATTTAGTGGTAGAAAAGGGTGGCCTACTCTTTCGATTTTTGCAGCGTGGCAGGGGCAAGGATAATGGCATGACCACATCAATAGTCAAATTGCTCGGTCTTGGCCTCGTGGGGACTGCCATTCTATAATGTTTGCACAACACAACAAAATACTTCACCTAAAATACTAGTGGTAATAATGTTATCATATTGCCCCTCTATTTATTGTAATGTGCATATAATATTTGTTTTAGTGTCCCGCATTTGTCAAGGGAATGGTTATTGCATTCGGCAATCCACATCTCATTTGTTAGATTTTTTAGATTGAGCCAGATCGAAGGTCTATTTTCTTGACATGATATTAGGTTGCGATGGACGCATTTCGTAAATAGTAAAATTTCCTGACTAATTCTATTTACCAAGGGATTAGCGAGAGCTTATCATTAGCTAGGAGCTATTTAGAGGCATATCAGCGACGAAGTTCCTAACTAATTCCTATTTTTCTAATAATGTGTTGAGCCCCCATGTTATTGTCCATGCACTAGATATCCGATCCTATCTGATCCTAACCTCTTGGGGTAGAGTTAGGTCCAATATTAGCAGCAACACATTTCACTTAGAAGCATCATCCCACAAAGTCACGTTCTTAAATAAGCCATTTTATTTAAGCTTTGAAATTGAATTTCTTAACTTCACCCTCTTAAATAAGCTAATCAAGTTTTTTTTCCAGTACAGCATAAAGGAATATTAATAACTCTTTTATTTCTTGTAAAGGAGTGGAACATTTCAATTTTTACTTTAACCTTTTTGTCCAAGCACAAAGAACTTGTAGGCCATATATAGAGGTGACAACTTAGACATTTCTCATAGGAATCCCTTTTTTTGGAAACTCTTAATGCAGTCATCAAACATTTGAGTGAGAGTCTTTAGAGGAGGGAGCCCCAATTCAGTTATCTTGCTGGTATCCATACTATGTGGCATGTCTTCTCCTTCTTGGCTGCTACACCTAAAAAGGAAAAATAAAAGAGAGTTGATATAAAATTATTTACACAATCAGGTCATTTATTAAGTAATAATAGATAAATCTCTTGATAAACATTAATTAGTATCTGATAAAAACAGTAATTAACCTGTTATCACAAGTAAAAACTCACTGATCGTTACACTGTCAGTATATATAACCTAAATCCAAAAAGAAAGGGGTTTGAAACTTCAGTTGATCTGCTTACTTGTTCTCAAAAGGATAAGATGGATACTTAGTCCTTAACATGTCAATGATCTGTGACATGTGTTGCACTGAGTTTGAACATATGTATCTACCTGAAGCTTTTTGCTCCTCCATAACTAATATATGAGCTGTCACAACATCCTCAATGTGAACAAACCCCAACCTTTTGTTGGGATACTCTCCAAGCACACCTAGTTGAGAGGGTAAAAAGAAAGATACAAACAAGAATTTTTTATGCCTTTCATATAGCACCAGCTTGAAAATGAAACGAGGTAAAACTAAAATGAAGTGAAAAACTTATAATCTCTTGGAATTAATGCAGATCTAGACGAAAAATAAGCATAATGAAAGAACAAATTCATATAAACTATCCTTTTGTTTTTCTCACCATACTCCCACTATTTCAAAAAGAATGAACTTTTTACTATTTAGGGAGTCAAACAAGATTTTATTTGACCATATTTTTTGCACATAGTTTTTAAATATTTTGAATTGTTAATTGTTGTGACTTATACTACTTTTTATTTAGTTTCTAAATATGTAAAAGTTATTTAAAAAAACTTAAAGAATATATGTTCGAATTCACACTGATATTTATTCAATTTGACCCTCCTACTCTAAAAATGTTCAAACAAATTGAAACGGAGAGTATCATTTAGTTGAAAATATCTTGTGTCATGTTAGTACGTTTAAGTTAGGTCCTATATTTTCCAGCAGTTTTTAGTCATGTCAGAAAGTTATATGCCAGTGAAAAATATATTGAATTTCTAGTACTTCCGTGGGGATTCATATAGTCGACCTGCTTTGTATGGACAATAAATACAACCTTTAACTATAGCCAATATGATTAGCAATGTACTGGTGGGCTGAGGAGCAAGCAAAGGACCCAAAACGAAGGATGGATTTACCACCACCAAATCGATACCACATTCCTTAGCTACTCTCCACGCTTCTTTTTCTGCTATAGTCTTAGCATAAGGATACCATAGCTGCAGTCAAACAAAACAAAGTTAAATATCAAGCAATTCTCATGACGTTTCTCTGTTCTATGTAGCAAGAAAAAAAGNTTTTCATGTTTCTCTATTCTATGTAGCAAGTAAAAGAATTTGAAGTCCATACATACATTGTATCTTTGGCAATATTGAAGGTCACTCCAGTGGGATTCATTGAGAGGGGAAACTTGTTGGGCATCATCTCTGTATCTGATTGAAGAGCAAGATGATGTCAACACAAGCCTCTTCAACTTGGTTGCTTTTTTGCATGAATTCAGGACATTCAAAGTACCCTTTACGCTTGGGTCAATCAGTGTTTTCTGCAAGTATAAGTTGGTTAAGTTGATTGATTGAATGTTTGAGGAGAGTACTCTCGCTACTCAAAAGCAGAAATGAAGAATTTAAGAGGTGTGGCGTCATTGTATTGAAAATTGATAAGAGAATAGATGTTGAGCTAATTCGAGTTGCTCTTGCGGTGATAATTGCCCAAGATTATATAAAGAGATAATAGTTTATTCTTTCGACCAATGCAGGAAAATTTAACAAATAACCCCAGAACTAGGAGGCGGATCAAGAATTTGAATATTATGGGTTTGAGTTCGAAATTCTAACCAAATTCATTTAATTTATTACTTATTTAGTGATTTTATTAATACATAACAAAATACGAATTAAAGTTACTAGATTCGGATGAATTCAAAAGTTATACACAACATCTGTCCCTTGCCATATCTGCAGAAGCGGATTTAAGATTTCTTGAACATGGGTGCACCACTAAAAAAATAGAAAAATTAGTATTAAGTGGGAATCAATCCCTATTCCTCAAGGTAAATAGCTTATGATTCAACCAAATGCACCATTCGATCTTTTAGAGACATGGGCGCCAACAGACAATATTAGACTAATTTTAAAAAATAGTACATAAATTATTTAGTTTGACGAAGAGAGTGCTCCATATTGGGGCTATAAATCTGCCCCTGCATATCTGGAGCATGTATAATACATATAACATGAGGATCCAATATTGAGTAAACCATGAATAGGAATAGGCTTTCATACAGTAATAAGAAAATGAATGTTAGATCAAGCTCAACCCGAAAAGCCAAGTCATGAGGTGAGAATTGCCTAAAAATCATATAAGGAAATAACAGCTCAACCCTTTAATTAACTGACGCGGGACAATCTAAGAAAAAAATAAAGAAGGTGAAGGTAAAACTTGCCTCAACATTGTCATCGTAAAAGACAGCCATTTGATTTACAAGGTTGGAATATAATATTTATATTTATTTAGTATATTTATTAACACATGTACAAAGTTCTAGCCAAAGTTATTACATTCGGATGAACCCATAAATTTTACACTACATCCATCCACCCTTGTCGACTGTCGTAACTGGAGTGTGTATAACATAACATGTGGGTTGCAAAAATAAGGAAATCAAGAATACGTTAGGGTTGGCTCTCGTACTGTGATAAGAAAATGAATATTAGGTCAAACTCAACCCGAGATGATGTTAGAATTGTCTAAAAACCATATAAGGAGATAACAACCCAATCTTTTAATTAACTGATGGGGGACAATCTAACAAAAAAAAGAACAAGTAGGGTAAGGTAAAACTTTCCTCAACATTGTCATCGTAAGGGACAGATACAGGTGAAGCAGTATGAAAGACTCCATCAACTCCCTGAATAGCATTGTCAAAGCTACCTTCAACTAAAAGATCAGCTTTCATAATCTTGAGCCTCTCTTTAGCACCCTCTAGCTCCCACAAGAATCCCACTTTTTCTACATTTTCTGCTAACAAAAAAACACTTTCAATAAGTATTCATATTTAAGGATGGAGAAAAGAAAAGATTTTTACAAACCTGGATCACGAACAGTGGTTCTTACAATATGACCCTTTTGTAGTAGGGCCTTAATAAGGTAAGCCGCAATAAAACCTGTACCTCCTGTTACACAATATTCTACCATTTCTTGTTTCTTCTAAATCTTCTCTACTTCAAAGACCTAGGCCATGCTATTTATCTATGCAGCTAAATGGGAAAACAGGTAGCTAGCTTTTTGGTAGAACTTGAAAATTTTGTGGGAAGAATTAATAAGAATATATTAAAAGAGCATTTGAAGGAAAACTAATTAGTAACTGTTAGTTCACACGATTTTGATCTTACCTTATTTTTTTATTTCAAAATTTGCGCAACCAAAAGAATACTTTGAGAATCAAATTTGTAACCTTCTTTTCTTTTAACTTCAGCAGAACTATTGTCGAGCCATAGTTTGTCATCCCAGCCTAGTGAGTTTCCCTTCAATACAACCAAGCCAAAAATAACCTAGCTACTCGCCAATATTTATTTGAACTCGGTATTTATGTTAAACCAAGCAATTTAATTTTGTCAGTTTGATTACACATGCACCTCATGCAAATAAGTTTTCACCGTTTAAATAGTGTGACCTCACACATATAGGAGAATGGTTTATCCTTTTGATTTAGTCAAGATCGGTTGTTGCTTATGCATGCATCAGAACTTGACTATGTCAACGAGGATAAGAACTTATTTTTATATTTATATAATCAAAAGCGTATTTAGAATTTAAATTTTACAAGTTTTAAATTTATCATGTATTTCATAGCTCGTCTTGGTTATTTGATTCTCAATTAAATATTTATATATTTAATGAGTTTTTCGGCCAAATCCGTACCTAGTAGATTGGCTCCGGAATCCGTTCACAATGATTGTGTTGGTACAAGAAACGACGTCTGTTTATACTGTTGGTTGAATTAAAGATGCTATCGCAAAATAAAATCAAATATGAATTGTCTAATAAAACTAAATTATTGAACTGACCTCCTATCGTAAATCAATATTTATATTGATTGGCATAACATTGATCGAACACAGGCGCCAAAATCTTATCCATTCCCGAAAAGTAAATAACAGACGCTACTTACGTGGCATCCTTTCGGTGGAAAAAGGTATTAAAGTAAATAAACAAGAAAAGAGAAAATGACCTGCATAAGTCCAAATAATCAGTTGTGTCCAATAATAAGTTGCGTTGATTTTGACTATTTCCCCAGCTTTTACATACTCCCTTCATACTGCCTTCGTCCCATTTTATATAAATGTACTTGATTAGGAGCAAAAAATAAAATAAATGTAAAAAAAGTCACATTAAATCAAATATATATTCTTTCTGTTTTAATTTATGTTAGCATTTTTTTTTAATTTTTTTTTATCTTTAATGATTTTTTTTTACAACACAAATATTAGAACATGCTTAAGACCACAAATTTAAAAGTATTCATTTCTTTTTTTATACTCAATGCTCAACCAAATAGGTTTTCATTAATTAAAAAGGAAGGGTTACAAAGTACCAATAAGCTTGCCATCATTACACGTCTTTTCAATTTTTTCTTCTCATGTCGTCAAAAATAAAATAAAAATACTAAAATTAAATGATATTGGAAAAAGGAAGGTGCAATTTCTTAGAACAGATTAAAAGGACAAAATGGGACCGAAAGAGTACCGTAAGCTCTATCTTACGACCAAAAAAGAAAAGGACGCAGTATTGTTGTTTCACAAATAAATTTTATATTTTTACAGTATCCAATATTACCAAAATGCAAGTAAAGTTAAAAAGGGCAGATTAAACGACGTAGAAAGTTTGAGACCTGGTTACGAGGTCCCAATGGAAAGATACATTTGATCAAACAAAATAAATATGTTAACACTTGGTATAACAACTGCCTGAAGGGCTATTCCTACAGCATATCTCAGACCCTACATTTTTTTCATATAGACGAGTACTGGTACAAGTAACTAATATACTTTTTATCAGATTTATTGGGGTGGTAAAATCAGCTTGTTCCAAAGTCCACCATTTCCCACCTAAATGGACGGAAAATGTACAGAACTTCCGGCGAGCCCCTGAATAGAAGAGCAACGCAAACACATACGGCCGCCATGGCCACCATCGAGAACATCGCAGGCCTGTACAATAGGGATCGGCTCCGACTACCATAAGCCAGCTTCTTATGACATAGTCCGCAGGGCCGAGAAATGGGTCTCCTCTCAGTCATTGATATCTCTAAGCTGGTGGTTGCAAACTCTTCTTTCTGGTTGCTGTTCTCAACAGATGGAACAATAGGAATATCAACCACTATATGTCCGCTGGTTGCTTTCTTGCTAATCTTCCTCTGCACCAGGTGAATGTAAGAATAATGTCCTCGCAAGCGTGCATAATCTTCTGGTGTGAAACCTGTGCTATCACGAGTATTCTTCCAAGCTTCAATTGCCACCTGCATGGGGTAATTTTAGCATGTTTAGTCAATACAGATAACTAAATAGATCATAGCGTCACAAAAAAGGTAATAACTGCATCCGACAGAATGATGTTGGATAAGAACGAGGTTTACAAAAAGAGGAATTAAATACCTTTCCAGGATCATCTGTCAATGCATCTAGTACATCTTCAGATCCATCTATGCCAGCTGCAACATGAAGCGGTGTCAAACCTGCAGGCCCTACACAATCAGGTCTAAACAAGAATTCCCCGTCAACCCCAACCAGGGATTGGTATTCAGAACTTAGTTCATCTGCTACTTTCTCTGGAGTATATGTTAATAGCAATTCCACCAGAGGCCTAGAATTCCTACGCACAGCTCTATGCAGAAGACCCATCTCAGTGAGAGCAAATTTCAAGAAAGAACTGTCTCCCGCACCCACAGTTCCATCAAGAAGAACGTTCAACAGTTTCTTAACTACTGCACACCATTCATGGTCTACGCAGAAATCAATAAGCCACTTGAACCGCTTCAAAGGATAGAGAACAGCATCAGGACCAAAATGCTCTAATCTAGCCTTCAAATTATTTCTATGAAGCAGCCAACCCAGTTCATGAATAAAATCCATGGCTTGATTTCTTGCTTCCATATTATTTATCTGTCCCTTGACATAATTAGCTGAAGTCAAGTCTAGTTCACTCTCAAGCATACGGATCTCAGAGCAAACATCTTCCTCTGCAACTATGAAAGGGAAGAAGCTATTGCTGAGTCCATGATCTTCAACCTGGATAAACAAAAGAATCTCAGCATGACTAGAGTGTACATCGCTTGAACGGGAATGTGTCAGATTCTTTTGAAGTTACAAAATGCATAACATTGCGACTGTTACATACCGTACACATCATATAGGCACCAGATATCTTTTATAGCATACACACAGTAATGTAGAAATAAAAGCAACTGATATAGCTAAGATGATATGCGCAAGACTCACATTTCTGCAATATATGCACTACCTCATGGTCATTTTATAATTAAGAAAAAAGTGATAAATGTCTCAACATCTTGTACCGTAGTAATTTATGTAATCCATTTGACTTGGTGTTCTCAATTTTATTTTCTGTATCTCGCAAGGAGTTAATAAACTTTTATTACTCTGTTGAGCCATTTCTGAACTTTTTAAGAGACTAAAATCATGACGAGCTTCCTCAAGACAGTAAAAAGGTTCCTTTTCAAAAAATAAAAGAAAAAGAGCTGGTACTGACCAAACTTGGCCGGTAACAGCAGTGAAAATGAGAGACAGAATAACCTCCCCTAGTCAATTTTGACGAATCATGTTCAAAAAGAGAAACAAGATGAAAGAAAAGGTTCACCTCAATAAATCCTCTTCCACTAACTGCTGGAACTGAACATGTGAAATTAAGGGATTGGAGATTATCATCCTTGTCAATGCCATCAACATGTTCTTCTACCTCATTATTAGCTTCTGGAACCAGGTAATTACTTTCTAAAGCACAAAGTAACCTGCCAACAAAAAATGAAAGCAGAAAAACAAAGACTTAAGTTACTGCACTTCACTAACATATTTTGCTAGGAATATACCACCAAAATCCTCCTCAGTGGGAGAACAGAAAAAGAAGCTTGTGCAATATCACAGGCATAATAATGATGATTGATGCATACCTTGTGGATGGCTTTGACAAATTATAGCCTTTGACTAAAAATTGAGCTCTCCCAGATACTGGCACAGCTATTGGTCTGACACTTAAAATTGTACTGTGCTCATCACTCCCAGAGGGCAAGGACATATCCAAAAGAACCTGCCCTGCAGCACATAAACAGAACAAAGTAAAATCTCAGTGAAGGACAGTACTGATGCAAAAATCGCCAGAAAAGATTTAGTGAAGCTGATTTTATATTTTGGGTTTGGGAAGGAACTTTAAATGGAAGAAGACATTAGATTCGAACAGACCATCACACACAAATGCGATTTGGTCCTGCACGCTAATGTAAATCCATCCTTTTGTCCAGAAACTATCATCACCATGGACATCCAAAAGCCTACTCAAACTGGAGTTCAGATCATAACAAAGCTGTACAAAGCAATTAATTTACATGTCAAACAGGATTCCACAGACAGCCCACTACATAATACTGGATTTCAATGAACATGCAGTACCTCCTCCCATGCAGACTCGGGAAGCCGCAGATATACTGTTAACACAACACAACCAGGCCTAATGTAGCTCTCAATCTCAGTAGGACTGTGAGATAACCAGTCAAGAATCTGCAATTTCAAACAATTCAAAGAGCATTTCAGAGAAAAAGTAACACGGAGTACAACAAAACAAGAACCATGTGTACTGAAGATAATGAAATACCTGAGCTCGTACGACAAATGGAAAATCACTAGGATCTTTCCCGAATAGTTTAAAAACAATCCGATCCGTGCGTGTCTGCATCCAACAAAAATAAATTTTCAGTTCGGAAAAGAAAGGGATATCAAGTTAACTAGTCTTGGTTGTTGTCATCTTCCTTCTCTTTCATTTTGTAAGATGCTCTTTCTTTTATAATAAAACCACAAACTTGAGCACTGAAAAGTACTAAATATGAGTTGGCAGAGAGTGCTTTTAAAGTAAAAAGCACAAAGAAGCGACAAGGTCAGCGAAGCTTGAAGTGAAACGGGAGAAGTAAAGCACACCCTTCTTAGAAGGGATGTACAAAATTTACAAAAGGTCAAAGTATAACACGTATATGAATGAGTACTATCACAAACAAGTATCAATTAAAAAACTAATTTTAGCGTCCGAAATACAATGATGCTGTTTATTAATCTAACTCCTCAAAGCTGAGATTCAAAAAATCAACTGGATCTTGTTGGTATCACTCAACACATCACCTGTTTGAATCACACACCTCTCTAAAGCACATAACTTTCCAATGAAGCGATAACACCTTGCTTCGCATCACTTTAAACAACAAAAAATGACCTTTAATAATACTGAGCGAACTGGCAATTTGATGACATTCAACCTTCATCTATACTACATAATGCATCATCAAATAAGACCAGTGTGCAATACTCAGAAACTGGCATGCCGCATGTTCTGAGAAACCATAATTAAATAGTAGTAAAAAATTTGATGTTGGTTACTGGAACTAGAGCTTCTGTGATTGCAGAGCAACCA